AGGTGCCCTTGGCTGGAATTGAACTCTCAGCCTTCAGTCAGTGAGCCAATGCTCTAACCATTTAGCCAAACCTGCCAGGGCATGTATCCTTTCTTGATCTCCATTTCCTCTTCTAAAAAAATTGACTGTTGAACAGGATAAACCTCTTCCAAGCTCTAAATTACTCTAAGATACTCTAATAGAAAAGAAATATTTAAAAAATTTACCCTGTTCATTTAATATAGAAATATGGAAGTGTCTCTATATGCATCATTTTACCTTCCAGAGTAAGTTTAAATTTAAGGCCATAAAAATAATTTCATGGCATATTTCTTAGAAAAGTCCTCACCATGTACCCTAAAGGTTTTTCTTCTTTTACAAATATATTTTAGGGTCACTTGAGCTGTGATTTTTCTGAAATAACTCCTCATGTATGATATGATTTTCCAAATACCACTGAAACATGATTTGTCAGTTTGCTGTTTAACTTCAGATACTTGTTATCTTTCCAGGCTTGCAATTCTAATTGCTTCCAGTTTTAAGACAAAGTACAGGCAGATTTTATACCGCATCATGGCTTATGTAAAATGTATACAACATAGGAGTAAATCTCCATAGCTAGTCCTATGCCACCTGTGTAGATAAAGAAATCTGTCTTAAATTATTGTTAAAATGGCCCTTTCTGGATATGGCCATTTAAGGATGTAATGAAAATCTAATACAAGCAAGTAAGAAAAACTTAAATCATCTAGAATTATTTTAAGACCTGGGAATTTTATAATCTTCATTCAATTTCACAAGATTAAAAAAGTACAAAATATTTATTGACATTCAGTAGTAAACTATGGAATGCTTTTGTCTTTCCTAATATTTTTTATATAAAAGCACACATTTGATAATATTTTAAGGTATTTGTAGTGGCCAGATGTCTAGCAAATTTATAACTTGGAATAAGTATCTTTTAAAAAAAGGTAATTTTTTAATCTTTTAATTACAGTTGACATACAATATTATATTAGTTTCAGGGGATTAGGCATTAGCTAACTCACTAAATGATCATCCAGGTAAATCTTGTACCCATCTAACACCACACATATTTATTGGAATATTATTGACTATATTCCCTATGCTGTACTTTACATCCCCATGGCTAGCAACTACCAATTTGTACTTGTTAATCCCTTCACCTTTTTCATCCCCAATGCCCCCCCGCCCCTCCATCTGTCAACTGTCAAAATGTTCTCTGGATCTATGAGTCTGTTTCTGTTCCACTTGTTCATTTATTTTGTTTTTTGTTTTGTTTTGTTTTACATTTGTTGTTGTTGTTAATCCTCACCTGAGGATATTTTTTCCTTTGAGTTTTTTTAGAGAGCATGAAATGGAAGGAGGGGCCAAGGGAGAGAGAGAGAAACATCAATGTGAGAGACACATCAATTGGTTGCCTCCCATATGTTCCCTGACTGGGGCCAGAGATCAAACCTGCAACCCAGGTATGTGTCCTTGACCTGGAACTGAACCCACAACCCTTCCGTGCATGGGCCAATGTTCTAACCACTGAGAAACACTGGCCAGGGCTATTTTGCTTTTTTAGATTCAATTGCTGATAGATAACTATTTATTGCCATTTTATTGTTCATATTTTTAATCTTTTTTTTCTTCTTCTTAAAGAAGACCCTTCAACATTTCATGTAATACTGATTTGGTGGTGATGAACTCCTTTAGCTTTTTCTTGTTTGAGAAGCTCTTTATATGCACTTTGATTCTAAATGATAGCTTTGCTGGGTAGGGTCATCTTGGTTATACGTTCTTGCTTTTCATCACTTTGAATATTTCTTGCCACTCCTCCTGGCCTGCAAAGTTTCTGTTGAGAAATCAGCTGACAGCCTTATGGGAGCTCCTGTGTAGATAACTAGCTGCTTTTCTCTTGATGCTTTTAAAATTCTTTTTGTCTTTAACTTTTGACATTTTAATTATGATGTGTCTTGCTGTGGGATTCTCTGTGCTTCCTGGACTTGTATGCCTATTTCCTGGTTAGGGAAGTTTACTGTCATTATTTTTTCAAAGAGGTTTTCAATTTCTTGCTTCCTCTCTTCTCCCTCTGTTACTCCACAATGAGAATGTTGGGCTGCTTGAAGTTGTCCCAGATGCTCCTTACACCATTCTCATTTTTTTAAATTCTTTTTTCTTTTTGCTCTTCTGATTGGGTGTTTTTTGCTTCCTTATCTTCCAAATCACTGATTTGATTCTGAGCTTCATCTGCTCTACTGTTGATTCCCTGTAAATGATTCATTTCTGTTAGTGTAGCCTTCATTTCTGACTGTTTCCTTTTTTATGGTTTATATGTTCTTTTTTATGCTGTTGAAGTTCTCACTAAGTTCCTTGAGTGTCTTTATAACCATCGCTTAGAACTCTGCGTCTGGTAATTTGCTTGCCTCCATTTCATTTAGTTCTTTTTCTGAAAATTTCTCCTGTTTTTTATTTTATTTTATTTTTTAAATTTAGGACCTGTTTCTTTGTCTTCTCATTTTGTCTGCTTCCCTGTGTTTGTCTCTATGTACTGGATAGAGCTGCTACATTTCCCAGTCTTGGTATAGTGGCCTTGTGTAGTAGGTGTCCTGTAGGGTACAGTGGTGCAGTCTCCACAGTCACCTGAGCTGGGCACTCCAGGTGCATCCCTATGTGGGCTGTGTGCACTGCCCTGTTGTAGTTGAGCCTTGATTGCTGTTGGCATCATTGGGAGGGATTGGCCCCCAGGCCTATGGGTTATGAGGAATCACTGTGACTATAGAAGAGGAGTTTCTGTGCAGGAGTTGACCCTACAGAACAGGACTAGCTTCAGTGGGGCTTTGGTGCTCACTGAGACCGCCCCTTAAGTGTGTCACTTGTGGTGGTGGTAGGGTTGTAATCTGGCATGGTCTGAAGCTGTCCATGGGGTGCACTGGCTCTGGGGCCTTCAGGGAGATGCAAGGTCAGCCTCTGCCTGTGCCCCGCCTGGGACCACTTGGCACAAGCTACAGAGCAATATGCAGATAGCTACTTGTGCTGCGCTTGGAGGTACCCTAGGAGATGCCAAGCTGTGAATCAAGACAGCTGCCACTAGTCCCAGGCCTGGGGCCACTTATTGAGAGGTACAGGGTGTGCAGAGGCAGATGCTGCCTAACTGAGAGATTTGAGAAAAGTCCAAAGCATGAGGCATGAGAGGCCATTTGTATGGAAAAGCCACTGGAAATGGCTTAGATGGGCCTGCAAGTAGGGAGGGGCAGGACCTCACGAAATCATCAGGGTGGGTGAACAGTGTGAACCTACTTGATGTAGACTCATATATGGTGCCCATCTGCCAGTTTTGTGAGTGATGGGGGTCTCAGAAAAGGGACAATGCCCTCTACCAGAATTTTTGTGTGGCAGAAAGCTGCCCACCCAGCTCTCACCCTAATGCCAAACAATTTAGTTCCTCCCCTTATGTCCCCAGTTCCTTTCAAGCTTCTGCCCAGTCCTGGAGCTCAGAGGGGGCCTGAGTAAGTCCATATATGAGCCCTTTAAGAGAAACTTCTTGGGATTCCAGCAGCCCTCAGTCTCCCTCAGCCTTAATCCCTGCTGGTTTTCAGAGCCCGAAGTTATGAGGACTTCTCTTCCTGACTCTGGAACCCTGGGCTTGGGGGCCCTAGTGTGGGGCCTGGGAACACTTACTCCTCAGGGTGAATCTCTGCTGCTGAGACATTCTTCCCAATTTTATTTTATCAAAGCAATTTTTTTATTGATTAATTTTTTACACGCACAGAAAAAGAGAGAGAGAGAGAAAGAGAGGGAATCATCAATTTGTTGTTCCATTTATTGATGCATTCATTGGTTGATTTTTGTATGCGCCGTACCTGGGGATGGATCCCACAACCTTGGCATGTGGGGATGATTCTTTAACCAACTGAGCTACCTGGCCAGAACCTTCCTGATTGTAAACCACCACATGCGGGAATGGGATGAGCCTGTTTCACATCTCTATCCCTTCCACCAGTCTCAATGTGGCTGCTTCTTTAAATCCCTAGTTGTAGGACTTCCATTCAACTGGATTTCAGGACATTCTGAGTGATGGCTGTTCTGTAGTTTATTTATTTTTAAAATATGTGTTTATTAATTTCAGAGAGAAGAAAAGGAGAGGGAGAGAAACATCAATGATGAGAGTCATTGATAGGCTGCCTCCTGCATGCCCCCCACTGGGGATTGAGCCCACAACCTGGGCATGTACCCTGACTGGGAATCGAACCCTGACCTACTGGATCATAGATCGATGCTCAACCGCTGAGCCACGTCCAGCCGGGCTGCTCTGTAGTTTAGTTGTAATTCTGATGTGTTTGTGGGAGGATCCGAGTACCACATTTACCTATGCTGCCACCTTGACTGCAAGTCTGGAGTAAGTAGATTTGACAAAGTGTGGTTCTCAGAGCTGCCTGAGTTGGGTGTTTCTGGACTCAGAAGATTTCTAATTAATGTCTTGATGCTCTGATAGAACAACATTGGAATTTATTCTACTTGAGTAGGCACATCTCGATGTATCTTCACTTCTTCCAATTTTATTTATTTATTTTTATTTTTTATTGGGATTTTTTTTTAGAA